GTGCTTGGTCGGCTGGTGCCTGGAGCCGGCCCTGGAATGAGGTTAAAGAGCCATCATCAGCCATTGCTGAGCAGAGTGGAAAACAACGAAATCAGGTGCTGTGCAAACATGTGTCAAAGCCAAAAAAAGGGGAGGGGGTGGCCAAAAATTATTTTGCTTGGGTCAGCAAAAAACCTAGAGCCGGCCCGGGTAATAAGAACCTGCTAGCAGGTGTTAACCCTTTCATTCCCTTGCAGTGTCACCCCTGGCGGCACCAGGCCCAGCTCAGCCTGTGGTGCAGGGATCACTCAGTTCCTGAGCACAGCCCGCTCAGCTCCTCCTGGAAATATGGGGCAGGGCTGGGGTTCTGAAGATGGCATTCCAGCACCTCCGCTGACGTCAGTGGGCAGAGTTAAGGAGCCAACCCACAATAGATTTCCCAAATTTAATGTAGCGACCAGGGAGATAAAAGTCCCCAACACTCAGACCTTATCTGCACGAATAACCCAGGGATTGTGCGGACACCCAGCTAGAGACTGGACTCTCTCAGGCAGAGGCTGTGACGCAGGGAGAAGCAGAGACCCACAGATGAGAAGTGAGGGCAGAGTCAGGGAGCCCAACACTTGTGGCATTTCCTGGTGTCTGCTGCTCCCGGCTTCTCATTTTCATTTTGAGTCCATCTACCCTGGACTGGCGAACCATCCCCCGGACATGCAATAGTGGGATATTTGACAAACAGTAAAACCGTGACCACTCAGGCTTTCAAAAACAACCAAGGGAACGTAGGGGAGCACTTCTGGCTGGGTGTGGGAGGGCTGAGACCTCCCCGCTTTTGGGGGGGGATTGTGCACCCGAGTGGGACAACGCCATGGCCCAAACATGAGAGTAACTTCTCCCCTCCCTAAATCCCCTCTCACTTCCTCTCTTTCCCACCCAGGGCTCACCAGTCTGATATCACAATTCACTTTCTTCCTCAGTGTCTGATTCTGCCTCATTGTCCCTGTCCCAGTTTTTTGAACAATGTCAGTGGTTTGAGGTGCAGAGCGATGTACAATAAAATATCCCTTAACTCCAATAACCCAAGATATCTTCTCCTTTAGCACCAACCCGCCCCCCCCTCCAGTGAGTCGGGGGCTGCCCTGCCCTGTGCTCACCGAATGGCTGTATCATTCCTGTTCACACGGCAGAGGGGGGCAGGAGTGACACATGCAGAGCACAGCTGTGGGACGGGCATGAGAATGGGCATCAGGGTGGACGCACACATGACAGCAGCTTTTAACTCCACTGGTCCATGGGAATCTCCCACAGAGCACCAATGTCGAGCACAACCTACTTCCATGCCCCCCCCCCCCCAAACACCACTGGTCTTACTGACATAAACGAGGGCACTCCTGGGAGTGAGAACATTGGCATGTGGCCTGATCCAGGTGTCTGAACCTGCCAGGAAATAGTTCCCTCTGGCACGTGTCAGTGGAGCCGGTCCCTGCTGGGAAGGGGTCTGAACAGGGGTTCGATCCCAGCTCACTCCCAGAGCCCCAAGTTATCTTCGCTCTCCAGGGTGGGTGACCCGACTCCTCCACAGTCACTAACTCTAACACTCACCGTTCCACAGCCCCACTGAGCTGAGTTTCACACCCCACCCCACACACAACCTTCATTCATATGTTTACTCCCTTAAGAGTCAACCTCAGTCATTTGTTTCTTTTATAACAGATTTAAAACATAATTTTCCTCATTATACGGCCAATCTCTCCAGGCATCTCTGAGTCTTCCACGGCCAAATAACGTGGCTGTAATCCGGCCCCAAAATTTCCTTCTGGGGAATCAAGAACCTTCCAGGCATCTCTTTATTTTTCCTTTGTCAAAAGTGTACTTAGCATCCCACCGCACTGTGCCTGGCGCTGTACAAACACACAGTCTGGAATAATCGGACTCCCTCCCTCTGAGTCCTACTGCGTGTAATACATCACATCAGATTTTGTTTCTCTTAAAAGGAGGAGAATATGCAAATAGGGGTGAGAGTTTCCTATTTACATCCCTCTCTCTCTCTCTGTCTAGGCTGCACCCGTAGAGATAATCCAGATCTGCTTTTGTCTGTGCATTTATCAGCCAATTCCCCTGAGAACTTTCCCCTCCAACACCAGGGAAAATGGGCCGTTGGATCCGTTTGTTTTTCATTGTAGCCGCTTTAGAAGGTATTTTAGCCCCGTAACTGTGCTGGGGGAACAGGGGAACATTACACTGTTGCCATTGCAATTGGAGTAATTTGTAACCTGTCTTTATTTCCAGGGGCCTGGTCCCAGGTGCAGCTGGTGGAGTCTGGAGGGGATGTGAAAAAGCCCGGAGACTCTCTCCGCCTCTCCTGCAAGGGTTCCGGATACACCTTCAGCAGCCACCAGATGAGCTGGGTCCGCCAGGCTCCCGGGAAGGGACTGGAGTGGATCGCTTTCATTGATGTCACCACTATATATTACGCTGACTCCGTTAAGGGTCGATTCACCATCTCCAGGGACAACTCCAACAGCCTGTTGTACCTGGAAATGACTGGCCTGAAGCCCGAGGACACCGCCCGGTATCACTGTGCGAGACACACAGTGAGGCAAAGCTGGTCTGAGCTCAGACAAAAACCTCCTGTTGCAGTTAGCAGAGAAAGTCCCTGCTGGTTTGATGCCGACAGTCCGGCTGCTGGGGGTTCTCCCCGGCGAGTCAGTCTGGTCAGTTGAAATGGTTCGGATTCACCCGCTGCTTTAGGCAACCCTAGAGCCACAGAAAGC